AAAAAAAAGAACGAGTTAAATGCTCAGTATTATATACAAATTATCAGTAAATAAATCTACCTGTAAGTATAGAATTTAGTATTCGGTAATTATTATGTTTGCTTAGTAAATTAGTAATTTGTAGGTGGGGGTGCTACTATCATGAAAGCCGACACCCACACCGTTAAATATTGTTTTTTTTTTTAAAAATATTAATTACTGAGCAAAAGCTGTTGAATGTACAATAAAAAGCATATTGAGCATTTATTATAAAATATTGAGCAATTAAATACACGCCTTACAAGACATGTACTTGGTGTAGACATAAGAGGAAATGTTTTCAACTGATTAATTGCTTTCCCACCGAAAGCTATTTGTGTATGAGTTATCAATTATGACGATTCCGAATGTGATCATACAAAACCTACTTAAGTCTTTCTCTGCTGGCTTTCTAGAAAAGTGATTTTTCAGACGATAAAATATTTTGCTAAAATCGGTTTAGATCTACTCTGATTATGGATCATGTCGAGTTGCCTATAAGTCAATAATTGTTTCTGTTTTCAAAAAATGAGTTGTAAATAAAAAATGATTTGAAATAGAAAAACATATTATTTTCTAGGTAATATGATATGCTCTATAATCTGAACAGATTAAAAAAATTTTTGGCGATCCTAGACAACTAGCATATAAAGATCTGAAGAGATTTCTCATGGTCATATTCGAAGCCAACATGGTCAATGATCTACAATCCACTAGTTTTCAATGAGAAAGTGATTGCTTAGTTGAAAATATTTCCCTGTTAGTCTTAAAGTTCAATTGAGAAGCAACGTGATACCGTATCAATTAATTAAGTTCCTTTTTAATCTATCTACAAAAGTTATTCGAAATAAAAATTTGATTTCATTTATTACAAACACAATAAACTTTTATTGTCTTAAAACTTAAAAAAGAAAAAAGAAAAGAAAAAACTTGAATATATAATCTTTATAAAAAAATTTTGCTTTAAAACTTCTTGATTGTACAAATAATGAGAAGAAGAAAACTAAATTTTGAAATAACTTCATCAAAAACTGCATACCGTTGGAAATACCTAATATTTGTATGCATAGTTGCATACTAAATATTAGTTGGCTTTTTTTTATTCGTTAGTTTGCACTCCTGCTTATGTTTAGTTTATCTTGTAGACGAATCCAAAGAATGAGAATATGAAATCAAACGAAAAAAACAAACAAGATCTGCTGGTTTGTATAGATAAATGCAAAAAAAAGGATCACGAATAACTAAACAAAAAGAGTACAAAAGAAATGATGTTTGATGGTATTTTTTTTTCTTTTAGAACATTGTAATGATCATTATGGAATATAAATATGGATACGCACACACACATTGTCGCTAGACATTAAAGAAAAAAAGAAAAATAAAGAATGCATGAGCAGAATTTAGTTGACAAACAAATGTAAAAGAGTGAAAAAGATATATAAAGATTTATTCTTCAGCGGCGAAGCCTTTTTTGTCGCCTTCTTTACGACCTTTATCGAGTTCGTGAACTGTAGCAGCTTCAAGTGCTCGAATATCTTGCATTGTTAAACCATACCATTCATCCGTCCAGCAAAATAATTGACGATGAAAATTACGAAATAAACGTTCTTCTTGACTCATAATTAAATTTTCTACTCGTGTTTGAATACCAAACCATTTGAATTTTTCTCGTACTAATTTGTAACAACACCTAAAATATCGAATAAAATTTGTTATGTTACCATGGATTATATCAACAATGAATCATTCTTTCATAAGTGCACTTAACAATAAAAAAAAAACTAAGTCATTCGATTGTTGATTAAATAAAACCTTTCGTAAAATATATTTTTAGTTCTCTTTTTAATAAAATTTCATATTTGTTTACTTTCTAAAAGTTAACATACTTATTTCGATCTTGTAATCTTTGTCCAAGTTTATTCATGCACTTTGACAGGCATTTCTATACAACGAGGTATCTAATCCATCATTTGTATTCTCGTGTGCCATATAGTATGCCCGCTAATATACAGAGGTCAGGCAAGAATAGAGCCGATCGGGATTGAAGATTTTGGATTCGATGGGCTCTATGCGAGAAACTCGAGATTGTGGGAAGGGTAGAGACATCTGAAGTTATTGAAACTACTGAATTTATCTGAACGTATCGATTGATTTTATATAATACATTTTAACTGTATCAAAAGAGAACCATATTTCTGAAGAGTCTGCCTTCACTCTTAGCTAGGTATCTGTTTTCAGGGGTAATTTTATTTCGTTTGATATATAACAGGATTTATAGCAAAAGCTGCTGCTAATATATAAAAATCTTGAAAAATAAAGCTTACATGTGTGGTTCACAATTTTTATACCATTGTTCACTTGATAAAAGTGGACCACGGCCAGTTTTTGTTGAATGATATTTTTCTGGATCCTCTTCTGGTTTATAATCATTACGATTAACTTTATCCGAAATATGAATATAAACAATATGACGTTTTTTAAGTTCATCATTAGTCAATTGATGAACATTTTCGGATTCCCCTCGATCAGGTAAATGTAATGTTGAAATATCAATAATCATATTATCTTTCATATATGGATTTGTAATAACTGTTTTACAATATGGATAAGCATTCCATGCTTCTTCATGCATTGATAAACTTGTATCTTTAAATACTAGACGAACAAAAGCTGGCACACGTGAAGCGAAATGATAAATTTTTCTTGTATATTGTCCAACATTATATTTGCCAAGAAATGCTTCTGACATAGATTTTTGAAATGGTTCATTAGTAAGAACTTCTACACCTTCACCACCACCTGTATTTTGTTTTGAAACTTTAGCTGTTGCATATAATTGTGCAACTTGATATTCTTCAACTGTCATCGGTAAAATAATTCGAAATTCGGTAATATGCATTTTAAAATAGAATAATAAATAATAATATTAATTATATAAATTAATAATCTATAAATAAAAGAAGAAGAAAAAAATAAAATGCGCTTTAAAAAATAAATTTTATCATATTTCTTCTTTTGTTTTTGTTTCTTCTGATGCTATGTAAGCTGTCTATTCAAAAAACATAATATTTTTTTGTTATTTGTTTGTGCACCACCTTCTATTTTTTTTTCTCTTTGTCATTGCAACACGTCTTGCTAACTCAGTATGTTGACATCCACATTTATACTATGGACCTCATTTTCTCGTAGCAACACCTGTTTGCATTGCAAGCATGAATGCCTATATGGTGTGCACATCAAGGCAATAGAATAAG